GTGCAAGCCCCCCTGCCCAGTGTGAGTTTAAGCCACCGGGTCTGGGAGTCAAACAGCCATTGACTACATCGGAATCCAGCAATATAGCCATTACGCCAACTGCTGGTCCCAGAACGGTTATTTTCTTAATGTTACAAATTAAGGATATCAAATGATAAAGTGTCTTTCTTTATGGGTTTCTTGGTAGGTACATTTTTGTAAAATAGGCAAATATAGAAATTATTATAAATTAGAGGGACGTATTTCTCAAGTAGAAAAATTGTTTTTGTTTTAACTGGACCAGAAATAATAATAATTAATAATGGATTTTTGAATAAAAAACCAAGTCAGTTATTTCAGATTAAACAAGTTTATTAGGAAAATAGAGAAAAACATTCCTGCATAAAAATCAAAAGACAATATCTAAGACAGCATCATCTTCATGAGAGACTATACAGGAGTTCACAGAATGAGTTTCTCATTCTCCCAATCTTCATGAGTTAATTTCAGAGAAGGGAAAGTTCAAGACAGCAGATCCAGAGGCACTGGAGGGTAAGTCTTCATAAAAACCACATCAGAAACCTTTTGGTGTGAAAGAATAATTTCCGAAACATGAGACACGGAACACATGGCTCTCAGAATTGATAAACCCTGATGCCACAGGCAGAGAGAGGGTTTCCCATGGTGTCCTCGACGATGGTATCCAAAGCCAGAGCCACAGCCATTGCCACCACATGGTGTGTGAAAGCCATTCCTTTCCTCACCCCTCGGAAATCTTGAATTTCTCAGTAGCAGCCAGACCAGTATCTTCCATAGCAGCATGGGCGGTAGCAGGCATAGCCATAGCCATTGTAACCACCCCAGCCACCATAGCTGCCATAGCCACAGCCATTGCCACAGCCCAGACCTCCAAAGCCACAGCCATAGCCACAGCCCAGGCCTCTGTAGCCACAGCCATAGCCACCTAGGGCTCCATAGCCACAGTTAAAGCCACAGTTCAGGCCTCCGCAGCCACAGCATCCATAGCCACGTCCACCATAGTAGTTTCCGTAGTAGCTGCCACACATGGTGTTGGTTGTTGAGGTTGTTGTTGGGTAGAGAAGGAGTGGAGGTGAATCGAGTCTGGACAACCCTCCCTGTGGAGGGCCTTTTATATGCCTAAGAAGGGTGGGTGGGACTCACCATCATGTCATGCCTTTGGCTAATTTTATGAGTAAACTAATAAATTTGTTGTTTCTCAACCACAAGTTAAAGCCTTGTAGGCATTAAAGAAGTTTGCTTTGTTTGGCCTCTCAGTTTGGATTCCCCTATTTAGTTAATGGCTTAATGAGAGGAGACACAGTCATACTCCTACAATCCTACCTCAAACTAGACTTTCATTTTAACTTCCTATTGCCATTCTTTGTACAACACAAACATTCTTTGATCAGTCACAATTGCTTTTGTTTTAGAATATAGGAGTTTGAATATTTTTTAAAAAATGGTTCACAATAATAGTAGTCCTTTTAATGCATGGGTTTTTATTCTCTCTTGATATAAATAATTTTATCTAGGATTTAGTTTATTTTTATACTAAAACTAAATGTATCTTTCACCCCATAATATTGATTAAAACATAATCAATTGATATTTCCAAAGAACTGAGTCTGAGCAAAATGCATTTTACTTTTGAACTTATACCAATGAGTCTAAATGCCATTAATATTCAATTTCTACTCAAATACCATAAGTTATTTCTTGAAACCAATTTCTCTATTTCTTTGAGTCTACAGAGATTGCTTAATATTCCAATTATAATTATAAACATTTTCTCTGTGATTATCTAAAGAGCTTTTCATTGTATGTTTATCAATGTATTAAATAAATGCGTATTTCATTGCTAAGATATTCTATCATAATTCTCTTAGTTCTCTTGTATAGCTCTAAGACTATTATTGTCTTTATTTAAATCAGTGTGGTAATTTCTCCTATTGGGGGGCCCAAGAAAAGTGGGAGTAATTTCATATTTTATTTTTTAAATGTTTTTTCAGGGCCAGCCAGTGGCATGGTAGTTAAGGTGACTGGATCCCACATGGCCAGCTGTGCAGTTTGGGTCTTGAACCTGGCTGCTTGAGAAATACTTTCAGTGTGTGTGTGTGTGTGTGTGTGCGTGTGTGTGTGCCAAAAATCCTGAAAGAAGAATTGGAGGAGAAGGGATTGTTGTGTGACCATCTCCCATGGGGGTATTTAATGCTTTCCTTCTTTCTTTTTTGGCAAATATGAAGGCTATTAGAGCCTTAGTAACATGAAGAAGACTTAAACTCTAGGTTTGGCAAAATAAAAATCTTAGAGATCCTTGAAGGAGCAGTTTCAGGAGAGTGGTGGGGAAAAGACCAAAAGGTATGTGAAGAGAGAGAAAGAGATACTAGAAATCAGATCAGGATCATCCTCTCAGGTAAATCTTTTAATGCCTTCCATCATTAAGATTGCTAAATTGGGACCAGCAGTTGGCGTAATGGCTACGTCGCTGGACTCCCATGTAGTCTACTGCAGTTCAAGTCCTGGACTCAGTGGCTTAAACTCAAGTTAGGTGTGTGTGTGTGTGTGTGTGTGTGTGTGTGTGTGTGTGCCCAAGATCCTAAGAGGAGAATGGAGGAGAATGGATTGCATCATGACCATATCCCCTGCGGGGGGCGGGGGGTGGTGGTGATTTCTTGCTTTCTGTCTCCCTCTGTCTTTCTGGCAAGCACACGCATCCTATAGCAACAACTTCTCAAAGGAAAAAAAAAAAAGATTGCCAAATTATCTCAGTCACCCAGTTAAATTTGAATTTCAGAATATTGCATGGTAAACACTTATGCAAAAAATTATCTGAAAATCAAATGTATCTGTATATCCTGTATTTTTTATTTGTCGTACCTGGCAACATGATGCTTAGAAAACACAGGCTTCATGGTCTTCCTCGTGACAGCCTTGAATATGTCTGTGAATGACTCCTTAACTCTCTTCTTAGTATGGTACAAAGAAAACAATGGACTTTTGGTTTTTCAGATCCACCAACTTAGTTTCCAATTCAATGCTTGTGCCTTTGGATTACTACCTTCTGAAGGAAACACTGGGAATGGAAGGATTTCTCTCTTCCCGTCATTCTCTCAGAGAGGCTCCCTGAGCACCTACTTTGAAATAGTGGCTCACTATTTAAATTTACCTCAGTTCACCTTGATTTATTATTAAATAGACTCAATACATTCAACAATGACATAAGCTGCTTTCAGATGTCTGCCTGCATTCACTGCTCTTACTCAACTAGCGCACAAGCTTCCTAACTATGAAGGCTCTGTCTATTCCATTCACTGCTCCATTCCCAATTCTCAAGCAGTGACTTGCATTAAATTAAGTTTTAAATTTTTGAAGTATGAAAGAATAAATTATAAAAACCAATGCAATCAATAGACATTAAAATTCTCAGTAAAAAATGAAATAATTTTAGATTTATGAAAACTTAAAAATTTATAGAATCTTTCTCTATACTCTTCATCCAATTACACCTAAGTTCCTGTTTATCATAACATAATAATCTAAACAAAAAATTAATCTTCTAAAGTGTCTTTTTAAAATTTTATCAGGGGCAGCACCTACTTACTCCCCTGCTGTCCTCACCCCTACCCCACCATGGGGAATGGTCACATTGCAATCCCCTCTCTACTCATCATGTTGAGATTTTGGCCAGACACCTAGATGTTCCAGTATTTTTGTCAAGTTACTGTTGGAAATGAACTGCAGGTCAGCCATGTGAGATCCAGTACTTCAACTACCATGCCATAGAGCAAGTTCTGCCTGATATTTTTAAGTAAGCCACAGACTTTATTTAGATTTCACCTTTTTTTCATCAGCCTCACTCTTGTCTTTTCTGTTCCAGAATCCAATCCAGATTCCCACACAACATTTGGTTCTTATGCCTCTTTACTCTTTTTCTCATTGGTAGCAGTTCTTGTTTCCCTTCACTTTGAAGGCATTGGAATTTTTTTTTTTTTGAGAAGTTTTTGCTATAGAGCAAGTGTGCTAGCCAGAAAGAGAGAGACAGAGAGACAGAAAGCGAAAAATCACCCCCAGGGGGGATGGTCACACTGCAATCTCTTCTCCTCCATTCTCCTCATGGGATCTTGGCCATTCACGAACATGTGCCAAGTGTGAGTTAAGCCACCAGGTCCAGGACTGGAACTGTGTTTGACCACATGGGAGTCTAGCGACATAGTCTTTATGAAAACTACTGTTCCCAGCACTGGCAATTTTAAAGAGCCAAACTTTTTTTAGAATGCGTCTCAATTTGTTTTTACTTTCTAACAAGTAGGTTGAGGTTATTTTGGGCAAGAACATAAAAGGAGCTGTGTCGACAGCATTGTGTTATTTGTGTTATATCCGGGCATATAGACTGTCAACAAATCTTTGAGAGTTTCTGTAATTGATTTTTAAACTCGAATTTCAAGCAAAATAAGTTCTTTTTCTACATAACCATATTTCATGGTTTAAAACTTTAGGGACTCTAACATTGAATGAATATTTATGTGACGTTTAAGTCAAAATAAATACTATTTCTCCCCCCAAATATAATAAAACATATTATTATTCAAGCTTTTGCAAATCCACTCATTTATTTTCCATCACAAGATTTTTATCCTTCCTAATCACTTTGAAGTAACCCTTTTGTTTGAAGACTGTTTATACACCCATAGGAAATAGAATTTTTTTTTTTTTGGAGAGATTTTCACTGTAGGACGCGTGCGCTCACCAGACAGAGAGAGACATAGAGACAGAAAGCGAGAAATCACCCCCCAGGGGGGATGGTCATGCCGCAATCCCTTCTCCTCCATTCTCCTCTCGGGATCTTGGGCACGCACGCACACGCGCCCGGCGTGAGTTTTAAGCCACCAGGTCCGGGACACGAACCGCGGTCGACTACGTGGGAGTCCAGCAACATAGCCATTACGCCAACTGTTGGTTCCCACATAGGAAATAGAATATTTTTAAAGAACAGAAAAGATTTTCAAGAGGTGAAATCTGTATAAGTTATAAGATCTACAGTTTCTAGAAATATAGGTTAATATTGACATCTGGGATAAACAAGCCACCAAAGTAGAAGAAAAACATCTCATTAAAGGAACATGATTTCATTACAGGCACCTGACACACAGTGAAGTTGCCTTAGAGATGTTGGTTATGAGGAACATTTTAGATGCCTTTAATGCTAATTATTATGGAATGTGAATTCTACAGTGCTTGTGGTTTGCCCCACATACCACTCAGTTGGTATATAAGGCCCAGTGAGGATTATGAGCTTAAAATTATTGAATCTGAACCTGCTATACAACTGAACCTTCTTTCTTGACACCATGTGTTGCTGCAACAACTACTATGGTGGACTAGGCTACGGCTATGGAGGCCTGGGCTGTGGTTATGGCTGTGGCTATGGCTGTGGCTATGGTGGCTATGGCTGTGGCTATGGTGGCTATGGCTGTGGCTATGGTGGCTATGGCTGTGGCTATGGCTGTGGTGGCTCTAGATATGCCTGTTACCGCCCATGCTGCTATGGAAGATTCTGGTCTGGGTGCTTCTGAAAAATTCAAAATTGCTGAGAATTTTAGGTCATGCTCTTACAAGGCATCACGTTTTCCTCTTGATTTATTTATAACAGCTATATTATTGTCTATTTGAACACTGCCAACTGAATCTTAGACTACCATGCAACATTAGAATTTCTTGATTGAAATTAACTGGAGTTGCCAAAATCTTTGAAAATTATTTCTTTGATTTTATGTTTCTATTATGATTGAATATAAACAATCTGAGTTTTATTTAGAAAAAATGTCTATGTTTTTTTTTCACTAAAGATACTTTGTTTTATAAACATAGAGCATTTTAATCTGTGCTGTATTTGTGTGTATGTGTGTAAGTGTAAATGATGAGTGTGTGTTTATGTGTGTGAGATTGTTGATACTTTGGCTGCATGCTATTGACAGCTTATATGTGTCACTCCTGACCAGTAATTATAGTCAACTAGTGCTTTTGTCTCAATTATTTTTTTTGAAATATTGTTTTTATGAGCAGATTGGTGGGCAATTATAACATACCTTGATCTAATCAAAATCTTATCTTTGGTATATTCAATATTTGACTAAAGACACTGGCAAAGTAGTACTCCTTTTTCTCCACTTCACAGAATATCTTTTTTAAATTTTTAAAAAAGTTTTTGGCATAAACACAACCATTTCCACAGTTCATAGGTTACGAGAGGAAAAGACAGGACAACCATAGCCACAGTTCATAGGTTACGAGAGGAAAAGACAGAGACAGAAAGAGGGAAAGTGAGAAACCATCCCCTGGGCCGGGGGGAGGGTATAGCCATGGCAAAATACCTTTTCTCCATTCTCCTCTTGGAATTTAGGGCACATACACATGTGCCCAGCATGATTTTCAAACCACCAGGTCTGGGACTTGAACCACTGTCAGCTTTGTGGTAAACCTTAACCATCATGCCACCTGCTGACCCCCCCTACAATATCTTTAAAATTATATTCTTGGGATAAGCAGATGGCCTAGTGATTATGTCACAGGACTGCCATATGGCCAACTACACTTCAAGTCCAAGACCTGGTGGCTTAAAAATCACACCAGGCATATGTGTGTTTGCCCAAGATCCTGAGGGGAGAATGCAGGAGAAGGGACTGCAGAGTGGCCATCCCTCCTGGGAGGTGATTTCTTGCTTTCCCTTTCACTGTGTCCATCTTTCTCTCTCTGGTAAGTTCATGTGCACTAAGTCAAGAGCTTATTAAAAACAACCAAACCACAACAACAACGACGAAACAAAAATCTATTCTTTATTTATGTTTGCTTTTGAATATGCCTTTGAGTAGATTTTTTTTCTAAATGTTATATTACTATAGACCAGCTGGCAATGTTGTGGCTACAGTGGATGGATCCCACATGGCTGACTGCATAGTTCAGGTCCCAGACCTGGTGGCTGTAAAACATGCTGGGTGAGTGTGTGTATTGCCTAAAATTCCAAGAAGAGAATGGAAGAGAGAGGATTATGACACGACAATGTTTTCCATCCCCAAAAGGATGTTTTTTCACTTTTCTTCTCTCTCTGTTTCTTTCTGGTTAGTACATGTGCCTTTTAGTATTTTTTTTTCCATTTACCCACAACATAACCTTGTACTCATGCATAGCAATTGCGTATATGACTTTTTTGCCTGTTATTTTCACATTGTCACAGAGAAATATAGAACTTGAGATCTATTTTAGTGTATCTGTTCTTTTTTTTTTTTTTTTTAAGATTCTTGCCATAGGGTGTGGGGGCTTACCACAGAGACAGAAAGAGACAGAGAAAGTGATAAATCATCCCTCAATGAGATGGTCACGTGACAATCCCTTCTCCTCTATTCTCCTCAAGGGATTTTTAGATACTCACATACATATTCCTGGCATGATTTTCCAACCTCTGGGTCCAGACTGGAACTGTGAAGTTCGCCATGTATGATCCAGTCCCTTAACTTCCATGCCACCTGCTGGCCCCTCAATGCATTTTACAAGTAAATGTTTGCTTGTCTTTGAAAAGAGGACGGTTATTTTTCAGTACAATTGTTTGGGTAGACTTAAATCATGCAAATACGAATTTAACCCAAAATATAGGCTGAAAATTTAGCTTTGATTCTGGTAGTCTGGAAGATGCTAAATAAATCTTTTCATGACACATTTTCTTAATTTTCTTTATTAATATTCACAAATAATAATAATATGATAAAATATAAATGAACAAATATATGTAAGTGACTGGCAGAATTTGGTGTGCTCATGACCTATTATCAGTATGTACAAAATCAGTGCCTAAAGAGTGATAAAAATGAAAATAGGTAGCTACTTAAAATCTTAATCTACCCCAAAATGGATATTTTCTGAAAGCATTTTAGAAGAGAATTATGTATATTTGCCTGTTTTTATCCATTAATTGAAAACAGGCCCCATGGGTCTATGTATAATTTCAATCCTTTCACATTTATGGATTCTAATTTTGGTTTATCATATGGTCTATCTTGGATTGAATCCTATATTTGCATTTGAAAGAATTTGTGTTATCCTGTAAGTGGATAGAATAGTTTTTTTCAGAAATCATGTGATTTAAGAATGAAATCACATGGGGTATTAGAAAGTATTTTGGACTAATTAATGAAAAAAAATACAATATACCAAATGTGTGGAGGACACTGAAGAAACAATTAAAGGGAAATTTATAGTTTGAAATACTTACATTATTTTATTTCATTTTTTTAGAAGGATTTTTGCTACAGGGTGTGTGCGCTCACCAGAGAGACAGACAGACATAAAGCAAGAAATAACTGAGTGGGAGGGATAGCCATGTGTAATCCCTTCTCCTCTATATTCTTCTTGGGATTTTGGGCATGCATGTACATGCACCTGGCATGAATTTCATGTCACCAGGTCCAACTTTGAACTGCACTCAACTACATGGAAGTTCAGTGACATAACTATTATGCCATCTGCTGGTCCAAAATACTTATATACATTTTTTAAAGACTTAAAATCAATGCTACAAGTTCCTTCATAAAAAATAGAAAATTAGATACAAATTAAAAATAATAAAGAGTAAAGGAAAATAAGAGTGGAATTGATCAGTAGAAAATTAACATATTGTAAAGTTAATAATTTTATTTTAGATTTTTGCATTGGGCACCTACCAGAGAGGGACAGAGATGAAGAGAGGGGGAAAGTGAGAAATTACCCCACCATGGGGGAATGACCACACCTTGTCCCTTCTCCTCCATTCTTTCCTTGGAATTTTGGCACACATGCCGATGACCTGGCATTTTTTTGAAGTTGCGGGTCTGGGACTCAAACTCTGGAGTTGGACATGTGGGATCCAGTACCATAGCCACCACATCACCTCCTAGCCCCATGAAGTTAATTATTAATACATAAAGTAACTGGTAAATTCTATCCAGATTAGTCAAGAATATAAGATAGAAACTACAAATTATCAATGTGTAATTACAAGTGTAAATTATCCTTCTCAAAATAATAGCAGGATATAATAAAACCATTATGCCAATAAATTGTATAAAGCAGGTGAAATTAAAAAATCCTTGACATATGAAAATTAGCAGAAGTCAAGGAAATCTGTGTGACACTATACAGGTGCTCTTCACTTAACAGCCGAGTATGGGTCCTGTGTTTAACTCAATTGTTAAATGAATTGATTGATAAGTGAGGAGCTTGAAGGCAGGTGTCTTGCTGTTTGTCATGGTGCTATAGGGAATGTATTTTTCAATGGATATCACATGACCCCACATTGGAATCATGTAATTATCCTTACCAAAAGTGTACATTAGATATGTATCAAAAGCAACAAGACACACCACAACACAATGATTATCTTTATTCTGAAGACTACTATGAGTGCACAACAAATACAAATTTTTAAATGAAATATGTAGTCTTATATGAGTATGAATGCTTCCTGTAGTGAGTACTAACTGACTATAGGGAATGAGAAAGAGGCAGGGACTGAGAAAGAGGCAGAGACTGTGCTGAAGAACTGGCAATAAGTCAGATTAGTCATTAAGCTAAGTGAGGAGTGGCTGTATCAAAAAAAAAAAAAAGAATGATAATGGAACGCCATTCAATAAAGAAAACCCTAGGTTTATATATCTTCACTGGTAAATTCTACTAAATATTTAGGCGATAGACATAAGAGTGACTTAAAAAGCTGGTAGCAGCTTTGGAATCCAACTCCAGATATGTTTCTCCCAAAACAATATTGAGCAAGAGAAAGAAGTAAAACTACTTTGGGCTTGATGGTGGTGCCGTAGTGGAGTCAAATGCTGTGTATTAGACCCACATGGGAAAGTGGAAGTGATGCCAGTGGGCATCCGAAGACCTCCAGAAGTGGGGTAGTGGTTTGACCTGGCTGGGGTACATAGAGGTCTTGGCTTCTGAAGTGATGCCTCTCTCTCCGTCACTTTCTATTATGGGACAAGTAGATCAACATGGGGATGAGTAGAAATCAAACTATTTGAACATGACACCCTAGAAACAATAAAGGCAGGGCATACCCTAACTTTAACCACCAAAATGGAAAAAATAATAATAACAGCCACAAATCCTAACTCTTCTACTTCTGCCCTATTCCTCATTCTGCTGTGAGGTATTTTTGGTAAACAGAGGCAGAGAAAAACTTCTGGTTAAAGAATAAAGCAGCTAGGCACAAGTTCTAAAATTTATCTAAAAGCACTGCCAGAGAGACTAACTCTACCCGGAAGTAGGTTACTATTACTATTATAGGTTAAAGAATAAATTATAGGGAATGAACTTAAAATACACATGGCTTAGGACTAGCAGGTGGTGTGATGGTCAAGGTGCTGGACTCTCTCATGACTGACCTGAATTCTAGTCTCAGACCCAGCAGCTTGAAAAGCTTGTGTGTCTGTGTCTGGAATCTAAAGAAGAGAATGGAGGGACCAGCAGTTAGTGTAATGGCTGTGTCACTGAACTCCCATGTAGTCGACTACGGTTCGCGTCCTGGACCCGGTGGCTTAAAACT